CTTAAAGCCTGGTTCACATTGATCGGCGATGTTCTACGATCCATTGTCTGTGAGCAACGAAGAAGAAAATGCACAAAACATTTTATGCATCAATGACCACCGACAATGGGCATCGCCGATGTTTACGATCAATGTGAACCAGGCTTAAAGCAACAATGTGTGATGATGCTAGCTAATGCGGTCGTTGACCATGTGTACCTTTTGCCTTTACTCGTTAGGCTTTGGAAAAGGTAGTTGGCGTCTAGACTTGCCCAAGTCGCTCGCTAGTCGACCGCGTACCAAGAAGGGAGCGCTTGAGAAAGACGGAAGCGAGCGACTTGTGTCACTTGCCTGATTTTGAATCTTACTGAAAAATTTGGCGCGAAAATCAACCATATAAAATTAACCATACTGCATGCACTCAAGTGCATAGGGTGCTATCTCAAAGCACAAACTCTTCCCAGAACCCGTAGGTAAGCAAACAAACACATCTTCTCCAATAATATAGGCTTCGACAACTTTCTGTTGAACTTCTCTTAACGATTGATAACCCAGTTTTTTACTACCATAACTTATAGCTTCTTTTACTTTTGAATTTATATCCATTTTATTTTTTAGCTAGAGATTTTTACAGTAATTTTCGACGATTCGCGTCTGTTTATATTAAATGTAAATTTTATAAAATGGCGTCGTTAGTACAGAATAATAATGAGCATTCACTGACGTCACAGGAGGAAAAATGCACCGGTGAATTTGGCGTGCTTGCGGGTGACAAAAGTCCGTCGCTTCCAGGAACCACGAACCGCGGACTTTGGAAAGTCTAGTTGGCGTCCTGTTTCTTGGTTTTATAGGCTTTTCTACAGCCATTGCCTTCTTGTTTCATTGCCCGGCTGTTTAACAGGCTTTGTATGGCCGTTGTTTGGCCTCGTATATTTTGCCCGTTGGGCTTTATATGGCCGTTGGCCTCATATGCCTTGATAAGGCTTTCGTTTCACTTGCTCATCTTAGGAGCGGTCTGTATAGACCATAGGTAGCGTTTCTCCATTGTGGGTTTACTGGGTTGCTTATATTTGCCGCTCAACTCTGGAGCACAAGCGTGAATTTTGTTCGTGGCTGCCCGCCATTGTCATCATTTACATATTTATTGTCCATTTGATTCGTTTTACCTAAACGAGAATAAGAAACAAAACCACAAAATAGCAAAATAACAAAACAATATACTCCCTGTTTGCCTTGTGCAAAAAAATATGTTCAACAAACCAATGATGATGAACGATTCTTCACGATTTGCTCGCATAAATTTCTTCACGTTGTTTATGCCCAGAAAAACGCAAACACAAAATTGCCTGGATAGCTCGCGCGCGCTCTCTCATGTAATTCCGTAGTGACGTAGACTGATGACGTATAGTCTATGTAAATTATTAAACAGTGTATATATTAAAAAGTTATTAAAGTATATTGATTAAAGAAATACAGATATAAAAACCCTATGAATACATCCAAAAGTAGCATGGAAACATTTACAAAAACATTTATCTGGACCACACTTTTATAAAGATATTTATTTTAAAACTGCTTTGATCATGAAATTGTGAAACGTACGGATATAAAATATAAATTTACATATACGCAAACGGTTCAAATTCAAAACAATTTACAAGCAACGTTTGATATTAATAAACACAAATATATTTATAATATTACTGGAAAAACAAGACAGTCTACCTTTAAATATGTCCACAAAGTTTATCTAGGCCTTCTTTCGTCCGCCAAGACGCAACAAAGCTCTCGTCTTTCCCGATAAAGTCGTCCATTTTGGCATACGACCACAGATGATAGATTATACCAGATGTCTCACTCAGCCAAAATTGTGTCCGCGATTTTTTATGAGCACGCGTTGGCCGCCATTTTGGCAGTAAGTGTAATCCACGCCATGAAACGTGAGCAATCACGCATTTTAGCAGTAAGCGCCATTTGGCAGTAAGTGTCGCACGCGTCATCTGGCGTGATAGCCTCGCGAAAATCGCGGACACGAAAACGATAGGGATAGATACACAGTGAGACATCTGGTATAATCTATCATCTGTGATACGACAAAGGAAACTCGTGGCCGCGGTCTTTTCTCCGTGAGCGGGGGTAATAACCCGATATTGACAAATGCCCTGCCCCCGGATGAGCACACAGCTGCAAATGCCCGGCCGTAGGGACAAGTAAGCGTAAAAATGCCCCACTGTCGGGGGTGGTCGCAGCTGGAATTGACTGATGCATAAGCAAGAGTTTCCACAAGACTTGAGTGGGTGGGAGATGATGGGAGTCGACAGAATACTGCAACACGTATAGTAAAACTCTCATCAGCTGTTACAAAAATGTGAACCAGAAGCCTTAAATTAATTAATTCAACTAAGTTTTGGGAAGCAAATTTTGAGTAGTGCCACATGGCTCTCTAATTTCTGCAACCATACGCTTATCAATTCTAATCGATGCTCGGTTGACTGGGCTTTTAAGAAAACGCACAGTTATATACAAATTCATACCTGATCTTGAAGGTGACGTATCTGCTCAGCAATAACAATTAACTTGTTTGTTGCAATACATTTAACAAATTCATCTGCTTTCTGGACTTCTTTCGCTAGTGCAACTATATCTGTAGGATCAGAAATGCGATGAACAGTTCTTGGGTCAACCAAACTTGAACTAGCTTCTGATGGAGCAACAATATGAGCAACTCCTGCAATGGCAGTAGAAGGAGTAATAGTTAAACACACTATGCCCCATTGCACCCAGAAACACCATGCATGTTATTTAATTGTGCTGGTTTTGATCAGAACTGTCTACAAATATTAAGAAAAAACATTTCTTTCGTTAAAATTATTTAGTCAGACCATAACTTGCCAATGTTAGAGCATCTCCTCAAGTGGTCAAAGTGCGCTATTTTGTTTCCCCCCTATAGTCAAATGTGTGATCATAGTCTAATTCCAATTCGTCACAACCACATCAGCAACGCTGTTATATTGCTATCAATGTGTAGAATATTTTCTTAAGACTTCATCCAAGAACCCAAATTTTCAACTCACTTCCAGTTGAATTACCGTAGTTAACTCAGTTTTCAGTTACTTTCGTTGAAACGTACGAAAGCTGAAAGCAAACTTTAATACTTTTTTTCAACAAAATTTTTTAATAACATAATATAACAATATATACAAAATATGAACATAATAATCTTCTTATGCAAACTAATAATTGTCAATGTCAAATGTCATAACAAAACTAGTCAACGCCGGATCAAAATGTAATGTTGCCTGCGTCAACGTAATATTTCTTGCGTAAAGAACGTGAACCACGAACACATAGTATATAGAGGAGCGGAGAAGAGCAAATGATAACTTTGAGCGAATCCAGTTGGTTGTAATACTGATCGCTATCTTGAGCTTTTCAGCTATCGAGGATGCCAGTACTGAAATGAACTTTTCCGTTTCTCGACTACTTCCACTATAGGGAGCAAAACCAATGGGGTAAAAGATCCATGGCCAATATGAATATCTATAACTATTTGGGTGTAATTCCGTTTCTTCTCACGTTCGTTAGCATTAAAGGCAGTAGATAACTTTTCGTTTCGGTAGCTAGGAACGAAAGGATTGAAAACCCGTACATCGAAAAATACTCGCTGTCCACGTTGCCAAAAGCCACCAATACTGATGTCAAGTCTTGCCTTGTCTTGCGCATTTGCAGTTGCATGGAGTTGCTCACCAGTGAGAGGAAGAACGGCAGGTTCAATCTCCGCGTCGTGAAAAATCTCAGTATAGGCAGTTGTCCAAATAGGTCACGGATTTCAACGTGGCGTTGAAGCCACCCTTGAAACAAGACAACGCGTGATCAACCGAAAACCGTTCCCCACAGGCATAAGTGGTTGGTATGCACTTGAGCGGCCATCTGTATCTCATCCGAATAGCGTCGCCTCGTTTGTTAAGGAAGTAGTTTTCAGACTTCAATGGTAATGATGTTAGCCAGTTAGACGCTCCTCTCATTTGAGCGATCTCGTTAGCACGCTTTTGGTCATTCTTTCTTTGAGATCGTCAAGACTGCGTTGATGTTCCAAATGCCTTGACTTCTTGGTAGCATTCTTGGTGGAAATGTTAAAGGACTATTCATCAAAGGACTATTCTGACGTACGGGATTTAATGTTCTTAGACTGCTGCTCACTTGTTGATTTGGAGTACTCGAACTTCCTCTCTGCGATCTCGGAGAAGATTGGAATACCAAGACAACCAAACCGAGCAGGCAAACTAAGAAGCTTTCTTTCGTCTTGGGAACAATGATGACCTTATGTTATAGCAGAAATAAAATGAAGATTTATGATGTTATCTATATTGGCTGTAGCAATGGAACAAGTCTTGAAAGATTATACATATATGGTATGTCAGTAGTTTATAATAGTTTTGTTTGTGGAAACACCACGTAAATTTATTATTGCAAAGCTTTCGATCCGTAAGCCCGAATCTTCTGATGAAGATCTGGGCTTAAGGATCGAAAGCTTTCCAGTAATACATTTACGTGGTGTTTCCACGAACAAAACTATTATATGTTTTATCGCCACGCAAACTTACAAAGAACTTATTTCAGTTTATGTTGAAAACCAGATACAAATGCTGCATATGCTGCTTGTGGTTCCAACTGCGCAATCTTTGACAACTTCACTAACTGTTCGCACGAATTTTGAACAAGTTCCTTTGAATAATTCTCTTGGGACTCCTCGCTTTCAACGAAACCACCAAAATATGCACGTCCTTCTGATGTGATGTTAATATCAGTATAGGCGAAGATCTTTCTTGCAGCAACAACTCTATGATCTTTCACCACTAACCAAGAGTAAGATGATCTATCATCAACTCTATGATCTTGATGATCTATTATCAACTCTGTGATCTTTCACCACTAAGCAAACTTTAATTGCCTTAAATACTTGGTTGGTAATGTGAAATTCAACCAATGATCAATCACATTTGTTTGCAGAAATTATGTAGGGAGCCTACACTTTGAAACATCAAGCTTTCTGCTTTCACTAGCTTATCTTGCTGTGTTACCTCGTGTGGTCCAATTTATCATTATTCTACATGTAATACACATGTAATATTCATTTTAGCAAATTAAAGAATTGTATATCATCATTGTAAACGTCCTGTGAAAACGTGAGTTGGTCCATTGCCATAATCAGATCTTGTAGCAATGCACGAATTTTACGAATATTGCAGGAATATTCAAAAGTCAGAAATCGCCCAGCCATTTGGGGTGGCACTTAGCTTTGAACATTTGCAACCCACCTTCAACACCTTCCTATTTGTAAGCATAGTCACATTTCACTAGCCTCATCTGAAATGTGAAAACAGCTAACGTCTAGCAAAAATCAACTGAAAATACATTAAACCTCCGCTGGGGATTTTGAACAGGAAACAAAACATGTTGAAACTTTGTGAAAGTTCAACTCAATGGGATTAAAACTAATGTAATTTAATCCGGCAACCCAGGCACACACTGTACAGGGGCACAAGTCCCAGAATCGATTCCAAGCAGAATTTTTCAGATATATGCAGGGTGGAATTCCACTCAAATTGGCATAACTTCTGCTTCTGTCAATGTATCCAGTGGTGTAACTTTACTTTTTTGATCACTTGCCCTCAGGGCAAGTTGGACATGAAAATTAGTTGCCCTGAATAAAATTCACTTGCCATCAGACAATGGCCACTGGCCGGGTACCTAGATAGGGGGTATAAATTAAGGGCAAGCTTGTCGGTCCGTTCTCTCACTGCAGCTCTATATGGCTATGTTATACTGCCTCAGATCTAGCTTTGGCCCACAACTGAGAAACAAAATTTGAATCAAGTACATGCACTAAAACTATCCGACAATGAAAACATAAACTTAAAGTGCCCAGATTTTTGTGGCAAGGCAACTACTAGCCCAATCGGGCAAGCAAGATAAAACGTTTAGTTGCCCGTCATGATATATATTCACTTGCCCCGGGCAAGCGGGCACGTGTTAAGTTACACCTCTGATGTATCTAAGATTGACAACTTGCCAGCACAATAAAATTAATACAAAACTTTAAAAGCAATAGTATTGATAAATAAAAATCCAAACCTCTTTGCTAAATATTAAATCAATGAGCTAACAGAACTTTTAGTTGTCAAAACATTGGTATCCTGCTAGCAGTGGTTTCTAGCTGAGCTGAGGAGAATCCACTGCGAGGAAATGAACAATTTTCTATCGAGCATGCGCGAAGACCGGGTGATGCGACCAATTCGACGTCACTATAAATTTGACTTTATTTCCTGTAGTTTGTTATTTGCAAACAAGCGTGACATACTGTATCCCTGTTTTATTTGTTGTCTGTCAGTTTTATTTAAACGACGTTTTATTCTACCTGCAGTTCACAATTTATATGTATCAGTTTTAATAACGTTGTTGCCAGTACTAAAATATTTTGAAATCAGTGCCTCACGCTGCAAGTTGTGGATTTGAATTTCTGTTATAATTAGATCATTATCAGTTTTTTTTATTTGGTCTACAAACTCTATTTGTGTTACTTAAACGCTGGAGATTGTGTTCATTAAGGTTTTCGGCAGAGTAAATTCCAATTTCCAAAGTTTGGAAGTTCCACGATGGGAATCGAAACCGCGACCTTTGGTATATTAGTCCAATGCTCTACCAATTAACTGAGCTACAAGTCAAGTCGGTTCGAGTTGGTGATATTTCGGAACAGAACAGAACAAAGCCTTCGATACAGATATATTCTAATATATGATATTTCTGCGTGTTTGTGATATTACTCTGAGTGTGCATCCACCGCACCGGCAAGCGGAAAAGTTTGCCTGACCACGGTAGGAATTAAAACCGCAATCTTTGGGATACTAGTCCATTGCTCTACCAATTGAGCTACGAAGTCAAGTCGGTTTGAGTTGGTGATATTTTTAACACCAACACAGCAGAAATCATGATCATACATGTATATTAGAATACATCGATTGTAAAGGAACTTTGACACTTTTTCTAATTTTGGGGGGGAATATTGATCATAAATTCTCATTCATTGCCCTTTCTGAAACCAGCTGGCTTCAATCCTCGGAGAATGCCATAATAAAACAGGTGGTGGCGTTGAATTATATTTTCCAGCCAATCTTAATTATAAAGTGCGTATAAAGATTTAACTCTTATAACAATAAGGATTGTGCTGAGTCTTTGTTTATCTAAATTCTTAAATCCAGAGGGAAAAACGTTATTGTCGGTGTTGCATAAGGCCGGCGCACACTGCATGGAGCTATGTGCTCAGCCAAATGTCACACGTACCCAATGGGCAATGTCGTAAGGAGATAGCTCCACAGCTCTCGTATTTAATTTACGAGCGACTTTTGTCATTCGTGCCACTTACGGCATCGAAATATCTAACATGTTTGATAATTTCTGCCTCGCGTGCCAAAATCTTTCCATGTGCGACGAATGAGAGGTATCGATCTGCTTACGGATTGTCGTAACAGTGTATGCGTAGTATACGAAAGTAAACATCCAGGCAATTTTAGAAGAGAAACTTGTCATGATAATGCTGTTCCAACAATTTATGTTCAACAAGATATGTTCTCAACGGGCTTGTAGCAAGCTTGTTAACAAGTTGTGACAATAGATCGGA